TTTGGTGTATAGATCATGCTCCTGCATTCTCACTGCTCAATTCTCTGCCATTTAGGAGTTAAATAATTTTGTTTATAAAGCCCTAGTCACACCTCCCTGCATGTGACTTACACAGCCTTCCTAAACATATCATGTAAAGAGTCATCTAATGTTTACACTTCCTTTATTGCAAATTCTGTTTAATTTAGATTTTTTTATCTCCTGCTCTGTTAAAGCTTGCTATACCATGCAGGAGCATTCTGTATGTAATTCAAGTTTAGTTTACAGAGCAGGAGATAAAAACTTTTAAAGTAAGTTACATCTTATTGAAAATGAAACCATTTTCTTCCATGCAAGCTGTGTGAGTCACAGCCAGGGGAGGTGTGGCTAGGGCTGCATTAACAAAAACACAGTGATTTAACTCCTAAAGGGCAGATAATTGAGCAGTAAGACTTTAGAGGCATATCTGTACATATTAAGCTCAAGTTGTTTTGGTGACTATGGTGTCCCTTTACCTAGTTACACAGAATACCTTTGAGGTTTTCTTGCACCAAATAAGCTTTTTAATTATTATTGTGCAACTATCTTTTTTTTCAGGGCCAACTTGCAAAATGGCACAGTTGCTTTGCTATCTATTCATCAAAAGTCTGATTCTATGTATGAATGCTTTGCTGGTAAAGAGTTATGGAACTTGTAGATCAAAAGCAAATGTAGGACAGCATGCTGCCTAAATCTAATGTAAATTCACATACAGGTGAAGTTGGCAGTTATGAAGATTTTTGTCCAATGCAATGCTTCTCATAGAGACACATTTAATTCAATGTTTCTCTAAGTGAAGCATTGGATGCATTTAGTAGACAAGTCCGAATTTTCTGACTTTTTTGTATTTGTTTACTATAACATAAACAAAAACCCTACATAGGAATTATATATGAAACGAAAGGGCAAATGCCAAATGCATTACCTTTTCGTTTCAGTTCTTTTGTTTAATAGACTCTGTGCTACAGGAGAATTAACCCCCACAGCAAAGTGGAGAAACAAAAAGGCCTGGATCTCCCTGCAGCAGGAGACTTAACCCGTGCATGTAAGAGTCTCCCTGCAGCCCTGCATGGGTTATATCTCCCCACACTGGTGGCTAATTACTAGCTCTCCCTGCACCAGGAGACTCCACTGCTGGTGTATTCTGTGCTGCGGGAGAATTAACCCCACAGCATGGAGGAGAATAATAAAATGCTGGTTCTTCCTGCAGCATGAGACGGGACGTGTGGAGGGCACTATGTCCCCCATTTTAGTTATTTGGGTTCCCCACCTCCCAGTCACTAGTAGTTTTAAATGACAGCGAGCAGCCACTGGAATGAAGAGATTCCCTTGTTTGGTGTTCACACAGGACCCCCACGAACAGATACCGGCCAGGACACCTATTCTCCTGGAACTGTTTTTGGCCAGCGCCTTGTGTCTGGCCGTCAAAACTTTACCTCGATGACATTCCCGTTCCACCGAACCGATCGGAGTGATCTTTGAATATGTTATACACTCAGATCAGGGCTATCCGGGGATGTAATTTTTGTGGGGTTCCTGTATGGTGGGTACAGTTTGGGGTACTGTAATTTTCTATAGATGATCTGTACTTGAGAGATAATTCGATTGTTTTTTTCTCACGCAATTATCTCACACAGTTATCTCTCAGGCACAGCGGATCTTGTTTTATTGTATTGGAGACCCCATGTAGGGGTGCATAAAAGCCATGTGTGACCAGAATAAACATTAGTTGACTCCCAGAACTGTGTCGTCCAGTTACTGGGGGAATGGGCTATATCTATCTTTAAGCTCCAGAGGATTACAGTGGAGATATTCAGTATCAGCATTGCAGCTCCGCTCACTCCCTTTTATTAATATGGGGGTTATCGTGACTCCCATAGGTTTTAATTCGGAGGGGGAGGAAGGAATTGTTAATATTTATTACAAAGAGGGAGTCTGCAGTGCTGCAGGCCCCATCCTTGATTTTTTTTTTGTGCATACGCAGTGTTATTTTCGTCCTAATGGACAAAAAACAACTAATTTTTTACCAAATGTCATCTGAAAAACGAATGAAATTCGGAATGGAGGAATGAAATTTTTATTTAGTACAAATTAATTTGTACAAAATCAAAATTTCACTGGTACACATGTCTAGCATTCACCATCATCATGCTGCACGTAATAACACAGAATGAGAAGACCTTTTTGAAAGTCTTCAAACCTTTTTGAATGCCTCTAAAGATTGTCAGCCTGAATACCTCTAGAGATGTGTTCTCTGACAAATGTAAATATTGTAATTTTATAGAAATGTCAATGTTCTACATTGTCAGACACAAATGAGCAGCACCCGTGCTTAGAGAGTCCCTTTAATGTTATATAAAATATTGTTTCATATATTATTCTGTTGAAGATTCCACAGTCTTGAGAAATCTAACCATCAACGTAATATTTATAAGCAGTTTTAAAATACAGCATAGCAATTAGTTAGACTGGGTTTGCCTCCAAATAAAATGCTTGCTTGCTAGACAAATACTGGCATTTTCATTCAACAGTAATCTATTTATTAAATAAATAAAACATGGTTTTGTGTATTAATCTGGTGATGTTCTCTCTTGACCTGTTATTTCTAACATTCAAAATTTGTTTATATACATCTTCATTCTCCACAACTATTGGTTAATTTGGTTTTGTCCCCGAGGAATAATACCAGTTTAATGTGTGCTTGCCAGACAGATAATGGAGTTTTAGTAGAACATCAATGATTTCAATTAGTAAGTCTTCAGTGCAGTTTACAGTTGCAAGAAAAAGTATGTGAACCCTTTGGAATGATATGGATTTCTGCACAAATTGGTCATAAAATGTGATCTGATCATTTCTGATGATTTCTGATGAATGCAGAATACTAGTGTTTGTATTTAAAAAATAAAACAAGTACTTTTTACTAATGTATAAAAATGTTTTATTTGAAAACAAGTTTATAACTATATGGCAAGTATAACATTTCATTACAGGTTGACAATCATTGAGTTTGATATAGTTTGAATGCATGTTTATTCATGTACTTTATAATATGTGAGGTTCTACTAGATATCAGATGTACAATTACAAAAAGTTTTTGATTTGATAAAGGCTTGTATTTTTACAAAGGTTATTGAAAACAAAACTAAGCAAAATTAACTAAACGCATAGTTAAAATAAATAACATATATACAGATATATATATATATATATATGTATATATATATATATATATAGTTAAATGAAAGCAGCATTTCAACCATATTGCATCAGTCAGCAAAACAAGTTGAATAGACAGTTGAAAAGTTTTTTTCTTCTATTTGAGAACAAACGAAAATGACAAATTTCCCTTTATTAAATTAACAGAAAAGTCATTTATAAACTAGTTAGCATTACGTTCAAACAGGTGTTTAACTTGCTCTGAGTTCTATTTCTGCCAGCAAAGACATCAAGGGCATCTATTAAGACCATCACTTTGCTTTTTGGCAGGATCAGTCCTTAACCTCTTCATTACCCAAATGGAACTGCAATGCATTGCTGTGATTTAACTACATATGCTCCTTCCTCTGAAGGGTTTTATAGCACTATGACTATAACAAAGGTGGTGCTTTCCTTCTTAATGACCCATTGAAAATTATATTTATGTGAACTTTAATGTGTTTGAAAATTAAAAAAGATAACCAAACAGGTCATGTTATTTTCCTGATTTTGGTTTGAGGAAAATGTGTTAAGGATGTTCTAAGTACCATAGCAACCTCATTTTATATATACCGAATGACAAGTACACTTTGTTGGGATGACTTAACAGTGTTGAGTTGTACTGTTTGTTCTCTAACAGGGATTTAAAGACGGATTGTATTATACAAAGGAAACACCTGTTTTATCATAGTTGCCGTATACTAAATGGTGCTGGTCTATTTAAACAAGTCATTTAGTCCAGTGTAACAATGAATTACTATTCTCTAGGAAAGAAAAATACTTTACGTTAATATAGTTCACATTTTTACGAAATTGCTCTGTTTTAACTCTTTCGATGCCGACAACATGAACACACGATCATTATCTAACTTTCATTTCACTTTGCAAAGAAATGCAAAACTACGTGTTGCTCATAAAGCCCTACTAATTGTTCCATTTGTCAATATGCTTAGGGAGCCGAACGTTACCTGGAAGAAGATAAAAACGGGACATACTGAGATACTAATTAAAATATCCTGGAAATCTTTTTTTTTTTTTTTGATCAAGCTATTTTTTTAGATCAAGAGAGAATTAGAAATAATCATTAAACTCTCTTTCACTCTCAAAAAAACCCACAAAACATTTTCTGGGATATTGCATATAATTTGCAGGCATCAGAGAGCTGTTAAAATGCAAGAGACTCCTGAAACTCCTGGGAGAGTTGGGATGTTTGTTATTATGGAAATTGAAAAAGTGCAGAGGTAATCTACCAAACTAATAAGAGGCATAAAAGATTTTAGTTACAAAAAATGGCTAGGAAACTGAAATTAAAGGGACACTATAGGCACCACAAAAGCTTTGGCTTAATTAAGCAGTTTTGGTGTATAGATCATGCACCTGTAGTCTTGTTGCTCAATTCTCTGCCATTTAGTATTTAAATTACTTTTTTTATGCAGCTGTAGTCATACCTCCCTGCATGTGACTTGCACAGCCTTTCTAAACACTTCATGTATACCGAGATATAGTGTTTAAACTTCCTTTATTAGACAATCTGCTCGATTGAGAATGTATTATCTCTTGCTCTGTTAATTGCCTTCTAGACCAGGGGAATTTCAGTCTGGGCTGAGCAGTGGAGGAAGCCTGACTGCCTTATCTGGACTGTACTAGCTGTGGGGAGTTAGTTCCTAAAAAACATAAAATAAAAAAATAGCCTACTAGACATTACAAACTATAAATCAAATGATATGTAAATATCAGCAGCACGAGTTGGACGACTGCAGGGATGGCTTAACTTACCTGATGGAGGCTCAAGTGACCAGAGAGGCCTTGCTAGTGTTGCTGCAGGCCAACCAGCTTTGGTCTCTGCAGGCGGTTTTGGCCAGCATGCAGAGTAGTTTAGAGCAGAGAGGTCCAGCAGCAACACCAGAAAACAGGAGGAGGGCCAGGTGGACTAGGCCTCTTTCACCTCTGTCCCACAGTGTGGTCTGACGAATGCGAGATTTGGCACTTCCCAATGGGTCTGGAGCCGAGAGAAGTAACTGCAGAGGAATAAGGTAATTTTGCTCATGTGTTAGCAAGATGGAAGCGGATCAGCGCTTTACTCGAGGAGTCTGAGGCCATCACTTCCAGTGCAGCCGGAAATTTCACAACATCAATGGAGTGATGTGTTCTGCACGAGTGCTCGATAGTGCGCATATGTGATGTCAGCACAGCTACGTTACAGGCTCTAGGAACATCACTGGAACAGCCAGAATCAGTAAGAGAGAGTGCCCAAGCGCCGGTGGAGTTCACAGTATGGGACCCGGTCTGTTTGTTGAGGAATAGCTAAAATGACAATGAAGGGGGAAGTTATCATCATGGGTGACTTTAATCTTCCTGATGTAAATTGGAAAACAAAATTAGCTACTTGTGCCAGGAGCACACATATTCTAAACTCCCTACTGGGATTGTCTCTAAAACAAGTTGTTGAGGAGCCAACTCGTAAAGAGGCCATACTAGATTTAGTGTTAACAAATGGAGATTTGGTATCAGATATTACTGTAGGTGAAGGTTTAGGATCCAGTGATCATCAGTCAGTGTGGTTTAATATAAGAACAGTGACTGACTCACACCACACAAAAACAAAAGTTTTAGACTTTAGAAAAACAGACTTTTCTAAAATCAGAATATGTGTAGAGGAGTCATTATCAGACTGGAGCAATTTAAATGGAGTCCAAGAGAAATGGGATTATTTAAAAGTTGCACTATTGAAGGCAACAGAAAATTGCATTAGGCTTGTCAGTAAAAGCAAAAAATTCAAGAAACCACTGTGGTACTCCGCAGATGTGGCCAAAATAGTTAAAAACAAAAAGTTAGCATTTAGGGATTATAAAAAAACCCAGAGTGAGGAAGACAACATGATCTATAAGATTAGGCAGAAAGAGGCTAAGCAAGTTATAAGAGCTTCCAAATCACACACAGAAGAAAAAATAGCACAGTCAGTAAAAAAGGGGGATAAAACATTTTTTAGATACATAAATGAGAAAAGAAAAGTAAAACAAGGATTAGTTAGATTAAAAACAAAAGAAGGAAGGTATGTAGAAGAGGATAACGGTCTAGCTGACTGCCTCAATGAATATTTTTGTTCTGTATTTACAGATGAAAATGAAGGAAAGGGACCTCAGTTAAGAAAAAGGATAAATGAGTCATTTATTACACGTGAGTTTACAGAGGAAGAGGTTCTATTTCAACTGTCAAAAGTAAAGACAAATAATTCAATGGGACCTGATGGAATACACCCAAAGCTATTAAAAGAGCTTAGTGGTGTACTAGCAAAACCATTAACAGATTTATTTAACCAATCATTGTTAACAGGAGTAGTCCCAGAAGATTGGAAGTTAGCAAATGTTGTGCCCATTTACAAGAAAGGTAATAGGGTTTACTGAAGCCTTACTTCAGTAGTGGGGAAAGTGATGGAAACCATGTTACAGGATAGGATTGTTGAACATCTAAAAACACATGGATTTCAAGATCAGAGACAACATGCCAAACTAATCTTATTGATTTTTTTGATTGGGTAACTAAAATTATAGATCAGGGTGGTGCAGTAGACATTGCTTACCTAGACTTCAGTAAGGCTTTTGACACTGTTGCACATAGAAGGCTTATCTGCAATCTTTAAGTTTGGATTCCAATATTGTTGAATGGGTAAGGCAGTGGCTGAGTGACAGGCAACAGAGGGTTGTAGTTAATTGAATATATTTGAAGCTTGGACTTGTCACCAGTGGGGTACCTCAGGGATCTATACTTGGACCCATTCTCTTTAATATTTGTATTAGTAATATTGCAGAAGGTCTTGATGGTAAGGTATGTCTTTTTGCTGATGATACTAAGATATGTAACAGGGTTGATGTTCCAGGAGGGATAAGCCAAATAGCAAATGATTTAGGTAAACTAGAAAAATGGTCAGAATTGTGGCAACTGACATTTAATGTGGATAAGTGCAAGATAATGCATCTTGGACGTAAAAACCCAAGGGCAGAGTACAGAATATTTGATAGAGTCCTAACCTCAACATATGAGGAAAGGGATTTAGGGGTGATTATTTCTGATGACTTAAAGGTAGGCAGACAATGTAATAGAGCAGCAGGAAATGCTAGCAGAATGCTTGGTTGTATAGGGAGAGGTATTAGCAGTAGAAAGAGGGAAGTGCTCATGCCATTGTACAGAACACTGGTGAGACCTCACTTGGAGTATTGTACACAGTACTGGAGACCGTATCTTCAGAAGGATATTGATACCTTAGAGAGGGTTCAGAGAAGGGCTACTAAACTGGTTCATGGATTGCGGGATAAAACTTACCAGGAAAGGTTAAAGGATCTTAACATGTATAGCTTGGAGGAAAGACGAGACAGGGGGGATATGATAGAAACATTTAAATATATAAAGGGAATCAACACAGTAAAGGAGGAGACTATATTTAAAAGAAGAAAAACTACCACAACAAGAGGACATAGTCTTAAATTAGAGGGACAAAGGTTTAAAAATAATATCAGGAAGTATTACTTTACTGAGAGGGTAGTGGATGCATGGAATAGCCTTCCAGCTGAAGTGGTAGAGGTTAACACAGTAAATGAGTTTAAGCATGCGTGGGATAGGCATAAGGCTATCCTAACTATAAGATAAGGCTAGGGACTAATGAAAGTATTTAGAAAATTGGGCAGACTAGATAGGCCGAATGGTTCTTATCTGCCGTCACATTCTATGTTTCTATGTTTGTTAACCCCCTTGGGTTTACACATGACATTGGAGGTTAAGGAGAAGATTGTGAAGGATGAGTATGTGGATCTATTGTCACTAGTTCCAGTAGACAGATCAAAGAGAGGTGAACTGGTGGATGGGGAAAAAAAGGTAAGCTCCTAAGAATATTCAGTAATTGGCTTTAGGGCTATGTGATCTTCGTCAGTATTATTACTAGTCGGTTTCCTGAGCAGGCACTTTCATTGTTTTCTTATCTTGATTTAATTTGGGAGGTGTACAAGGTTTACAGGGTTCAATGCTGGTTCAGGTATGACCAACAATTCCAGTAAAATATGGCTTCTTGGATTTTAGTGTCCAAGACAGGAACCGATGGTTGTTACTTTGAAGTGCCTGGAGGCACTAAAAAAGGGGTCTGCTGGCTGTTTAATGATGGCAGTTGCAGATGCTAAGAATCATGTTGGTTCAAGCACAAATGCTCCAACTGTGGAGGCACTCATCCCGTGGTGCATTGCTTCAAGAAGGTGAAGCAGTCTTTCAAGAAGGGTAACGTTTCTCGATGTTGCAGTATTTAGGTCTGTATCCCAAAGTTAAAGACGAGGCCTAGTTGCAGGTCATGCTTTTGGTTGGGTTCAGATTCTGTTTGTTCAGTTTGACTTTCCAGTGTTCGCACAGAACTTAAAAAAAGTTGGCGCAAGAGGTTGATTTGGAGCGAATGGCTGGTCCATTTGATAGCCCACCATTTGTCAATCTCTGCATGTCGCTATTGGGAATGGTTCCCAAAGTGGCCTCTGGTTTGTATCAGCTGATTCATCATTTGCGGTACCCATCTGGGGGCTCAGTTAATGACATCTCCCTGGAGGTCAGCAGGCTGCATTATGCATATTTTGGGGTTAGAGCTGGTTAGGGTGGTGTATCCAGGTGCATTTTTAGCGAAATCCAATATAGAGTCTGCATCTCTTTTTCTCCAGGTTCACCCATGTTTTCATTTGCTAGGTTGTTTTTTTTTTTTTAATTTGTGTTACTATAACATGTGTTTGCCTATGGCTTGTTCTATTTGCTGTACCTATTTTGAGATGTTTTCATCTTGCTTGGAGTTGCTCATGACTAGGTTCCATGTTGTCTTGGTTGTTACACTACCTTGACGATCTCTTATTTGTGGGTTCAGCCACATCGGACGATTTTACTTCAATCATTCTGTACCGTGGCAGAAGACTTTGGAGTCCATGTGGTGGAGTACAAGACTATGTAGGGTGCTCTCCTTTTTGGCGGTTATCTTGGCTACAGTTGGGGTGTAACTACATTCAGATTACAAAGTGGTTGCATTAAGATTTGGAGGTGTGGAGCATGTTTAATGGGCATATATGTTGGTAGCTCGGAGTTGGATCTTTTCATCGATGCCTTGTGTTCGGTCGGGATTTGGGCATATCTGCAGGGCCAGTGGTGCATGGCTCATTGGTTATCGAGTGACATTAGTCGTATCATGACCTTTTTGGAGCTGTTCCCTCTGGTGGTCACCTTGGAGCTTTGGATTGAGGCCTAGACAAATTGGAGAGTCTTATTTCATACTGACAATACAAGTGGGGTGCATGTAGTCAATAGGTTGTCTTTGGTGTCTCCTCCAGTTGTGACCCTGTTGTAGCATTTGATTCTGAAATGTTTGCAGTATAACCCTTGGATTATGGCATGTCATGTTCTAGGTGTTCAGAATGTAAATACTCTCTCTCTCGATTTAAGTGGGATCGTTTTTGGGAGTCGGCCCTGGAAGCCTCTTAGGCTGCCTTTCCAAAAAAACAAAAAAGACATTTATATAAATCAGATTGCACTATTTTGAGTGCTAGTGTTAGTGGATATTGTGTAGTTGTTTCTATTTGTGTGGTTTGAGTTTTATTGTCACAGCGGGGATTCCTGGCCAGCGCAATAAAAGGAAAAAACCAGATTGTCCAATCGGAACTTGATTAGCCGCAGTGAAGCTTATGGCAGCAGGCTGCACCGGGCTCTTGGAAATTTGAGGGTTAATTGTCTGTTGGGTTACCCCCCCAATAGCTGTCAGTTTGTTAAAGGATGAAGACTGCCTGGTTATAGGATGTTATGTTATACTGTTAATAAAGCTGTAGTCGTTGCCCTTTCCATTATATTTTAGTGTCCTTGTAGTTAAAAGGCACCGGGGTCAAGGAATATTTTAGGTCTGCAGACATGAAGAAATATACTTAACAGTATGTTTGTTATGCAGATAAAGCAGTTACAGTTAACAGAGTATAAAAGGCTGCCTATTTTTTCAATATATTTAACTTTCTTTTAT